CCTCCTCCTCCTCCTCCTCCTCTCTCGCGTACCAGCGTCGCCTGTAAATATAAAACTGCACTGGGTCAGGGATCCGTGATTTATCGGCTGCCTCGTGTAATTGGCTGCCGGCCAATAGATACATACCCCCGGGATACCCGCTGCGACATGAAGGGAACGTGCCTACCTCTCTGTCTACACTGACTAAACCAACCAACCCCTCCTGTCCTTCTTCCCTCTTTTCCTTGTGCTTTCTATGCCGCGCCACTCTCCCCTTGGTACTCGCTTCACCCTGAGTCTCGTTGCCGGTGGCCATTGGACGACAGGGCAACGGAGTGCCGAAATTTCGCCGGGCAGTTTGAGCCTGTTCGCCTCAGTAACCGCGCCACTTTCACTGAAAATCTAAGCCGACCTCCACTTGGCACCGTGTCAGAATCACGGTTAAGAAGCGACGCGAGAGCTTCGGTCAAGTTTCGACCGGGCGTACCACGCTACCGGACGTACCCGGTACCCGTCTGATGTAATACCAGTGCCGTCTATCTCGAAGCATTCGGCGTGCACTCTGGTTTCCACCATCCTCTGGCCGCCGATCTTTTCGTTCTTGGAGAAATTTCGAAATTACCGACACCAGTGATTCTAAATTTATCTCTTATTACGTGACAAGAATCTCCGTTCATTCTAACGATACTATTGAATACCCTAATTCTATACTAAATAAAGATAATTTTTCTTAATTAGCTCTGGTTTTATTTGCGTTGCATAATAGAGAAAAAATGCGACGGTGCATTCGGTAATCCCGTAATTCGGTCGGTACGCCCGCGCGTCGAAGGCTTCCGCGGTTGCGAAACGGTTTTCGGGACCTTCTACCGCGGATTCCATCACGCGTTTGCACAATGCACGTCCAGGGGAAGGTCTCGCAACGTTAGATATGATTCGATGATGCAAAGGCACGCGATAAAAGGACTCGGCCGGCAAGGGAACAATGAGACCAGACCAGGGTTTCCACGAGTTGACGCACTTTCGCGGAGGTCAAATTCCACGCGACTACGCGCGCGCCTCGCGAAGGCATTACTGACGACCTTCGTGGTATTTGTTGGTTCGTAAATAAAGTGTGCCAATATCTCGAGATATAGAGTCCACAGTCGGCGTCGTTTGTTCGTGCTATTAGCGAGAACCGATTTAGATGGAGGAACTGAGGAAAGAAAAGACATAGCTGAATGATTCATTCGAGAGAGAATCTCGCTAATATGGAGCGAGCTACCTCAACAATGACGGCTGACGGTTTGATGAAAGACCGTGATCTCGTGGTCCAACGATCCAACGAGACGCGCAAGACTCGGTCATTGTTGCCCAAAGATACGACAGAGACGTAATAAGCAGTGTACAACTCGGTGTGTATTATCGTCGTGACGGTATGTTCCTGAAAGTGGAGAGTTGAACGGTATAGTTTAGCTGGATGAAGAGATGCACGCGGTATGTTTCTTCGGGTGTAAAGGGACGCATGAATCGTCGTAGATTCTCACGCGACTTCCCCGTTCCACTTCCGCGTACGTACACCGTTCGTGTTAGCTAACCGTAAGCATATTGAAATTTGATACCACGTGCGAGTTATCATGAATGAAACTGCGATCTCCCGACCATGCGAGGATTTCACACGGTCGCCATCTCTCGTCAGACATCCAAAGGTTAGGTCGGCCAAATGGTATAACCTCACTCTTCCGAATGACAATAAACACCGGTACGTGTTCTCGTTTGGAATACAACGACGATCGTCTTACCTTGATGGGGTAAAAATCGTTGCCTCGAACATTCTCCTTGCTTCGCGGCAGTCGTCTTTTCGTTCTTCTGAAATAGTCAGAGAAGATGAAAACAGAAAATGTGTCAGCTGATGTTGTACAATAGGCACGCGCGAGCGCAATACGCACTTTCGTCTGTCCGGACAGACCTGACATTACGGCTTCGAACTTGGAGACATTGTCATAGATCGGTGCTTTCGTCAGATCGATCTTTTTCGAGTACAATGCTTTCATCGGATCGAATTTCACACTTTTCACGTCCAGGCTCTCGTCGGACGTTGAGCTGCTCTCGTCATCTGCCATGTCGAAACTGTTCGGTTCTGGCCTTGGCGGGCAATTTGAATTCTACTGCTCGAGTCAAATCTTTACTTTCGCTTTGAAAACAATGTCGTCCATATGCATGCACGTATACACGTGCGTGTGGAAAAAAAAAAACAAAACAGAGTGTGTGCTCGAAGTAACGGTATATTTCGGTTTCATAAAATTTCCATCGATTATATAAAGAAAGGAAATAATAAGGTTTCATTAGAGAGTTCTCTTTCCATGCGGGTACGTAGATATTTGATCGCCTCGTTTTCGACGCAGCGCGTTGCTCCCGATTACATCGGGCAGCGAGCGATATTTGAATAGCTAGGCTAGAGGATGTTAACCTCCTCGCAACGATAGAAACTTTCTTTCGCGACTGAGGATTACGTAAAGACAGCGGCGTGTAGAAGCTGCATAGAAATGCAGCGCCGACAGGAGAGTGAGGTTACGCGCACAGGAAGTGAAACAACCTACAAGCCAGAAAGAAAGTTTTCACTCGGTGTTTTCACTTTCATGGAAATGCCAGCGTTACCTGCTCCGTTACATGCTACTACACGCACGAACTTCTAATTATTGGAATTGGAATTGGAATTGCTTTGCACCGACGAGTCGAATGATCGATCCAGATCGTTTAAACTTATCGATTGATTTCTCGTTATCGAGAATATCACGGGCACGTACGTCGAGTTGAAGATCGATAATCGTGTCGATTGTAGTCGGAACGATCGTAGAGTTAGTTTCGCGTGAACATGTCTGCTTCGTGCAACGGGAGAAAGTAATTTTTAAACGCGTAACTGCGTAATTTCCGTTACTGGGGAAAACTCCTCCTCCACAACAAATGAAATTTTTCTGTTTCAGGGAAATCAAGGTATCGCATAAATCGATAGAGAGAAATCTGCGGAGCAGTAAAAGGAAGAGGCGAAAAGTGGGGACGTTTCGGAGGTGGTTTTGGATGTTAGAAAGCGCGGGGGTGGCTAAAGAGGCCCCACCGCAGGGTACGGGTCCCGATGCCGGTCCCCGTATCGCAAACCCTTACGCTGACCTCCACCCTCGTGCCCAAGGAGGAGTCAAACATGCCCTTCATAGACGACGAGCTACTTTGGTGCCCTGACAATGACGGCAAAATGGTCGACTTGACGCAGTGTCTTCAGGTTGGTCCGAGCTCGAAAAATCAGTTTTGCAATCGTAAAAGCAAGTCGTTAACTAGACTTTATCGATTATCACACCAGGAGAGCAGCACGGGGCAGTCAGTAGAATTCTCCCCGATGGAATTGAGTGCCCTCGTGGGCACGCCGGCTGCTCCAAATATGCCGGCGGAAGAGGGCGAAGGAATGGCTGGTGTCACAGGCGAAGAACCCTTTGACACGCTAGACACATTCCTTCGTGAACTGCAAGCCGATTTGGCCGAAGCCAGTCAACCCACATCCACTACAACTTCCGCAACCCCTTCCTGTCGACGGCAGAGGTACAATATCGCAGCCGCCAACCCGTTGTTAGCAGGTGAGTCTCGTTAACGTATATAAGATTCCAAACGTAGGAATCTGTTATCGTTAACCACCGTTTTATTTGCTGCAACAGAAAAATTAGCAGCTCCTTCCTCGCAAGCATCTCCAACATCCATCCCGTACGCGGCGAGGGCGGAGATCAAGACGGAAAGTATTCAGCCTGAAACGAGCAAAGGTAAGTTTGCACACGTGTGTCTTGAAGTTCTAATTATTTTTCGAATATCAGTCGCCACTCCACCTGTTATATCGTCCGTCGTATATTAAACAACCACCATTTTTTTCAAATCTACGTTATCGACCGTAATTACATGTATGGGTTCCTACTTTATCGGCGTTTTTCGTTCGTTTACCGATCCTGCAAACGAATCGATTTACCATCGTGTAAATATTTGTTCCGTCGGTACAACAGAAATCCATCGTGTCGCTGTACCTTGCATCGATACAGGCGAAGGGTGCATAGATCGGGAGCTGAACTCGTGCTCGAAGCCGTGGTATTTAAACAATGCCGATTCGCTACTCCGAAAGGAAAACCGGCCAAGGCCCCGCGAATCGCGACCAGACATCCGCGTTAACGATAATTGCGCCTGCGTTCTTGTGTCGACGTGAAAAAAAAAGCAGCCAGCATTCGCGCGTAAACGTACACGTACGAAAGGCTTGCGTTGGTGTTCGCGGTGGCCCAATTCTTACAATTTACAGTCGTGTCGTAACAACGCACACTACGTGCGTACGCGATTTCGCGATTGCTTCGAGTCAGCCTCGAGACGTAGGAACGTGCAACGACCATCGAGGAAGAACGTATTTACACGACCTTAAGGCTTATGCGGCGCAAATATTATGCCACTACGCGCGTTAGGTGTCGTGTTCTATAACTCCTGCTGAAACATACCTGCTGAAACGGCAACGGGACGCTCGCGTCCTCGGCTTTGCTTCGACACTACTCAACGTGTGTGTCACACACGCGTGTGTATAACCGTCTTACAAATGTATTTTATGCACGACACTGCTAAAGTGGTAACGACCTTTTGTAGGCCGCGTGAGACGCTTAGCCTTTAACCCGAGCATTTAAAACGATCAAAGGGGCGGACGAGTCTTTCTGTATGCCAGCGTTCAACGATAACAAAGAAAAATTGTACGCCTCGTGAGAGAGGGAAGAAGGCCATGATCATAGAAATCGTGGAATCGCGTTTTCAATTCTTGACAATCCAAAATTGAGAAGAGATTCGAAAAAAATTTCCTCTGAAGGTTTCGCTTCGCTTCTGTTTTATCCTTCTTTTGCCTTCCTTTTTCCTTTCTTTCTTTTTTCTTTTCTTGAAGTGACAATACAAATGGAATGCAAATTTTCGTTACGCGTCGTTCGTTTGCTATCCAACCGATCCGCGGTAAACTTCGCGACTCCATTTCAACCGCAGCCCGCGACGGCCAATTACGTGCCGTTAGAACACGAATCGGGATGGGTGCTGGTCGTTTGTTCTTTTCACATTTTTAGAAAGCGGTTGGAAAGTGAGAGACCGTGTACTTTCTAGCAAAACTATTATAAATACAGATTAGAACGGTGTTGCAGTTAAAATATCGACGAAAATATGATGTCGTGTTCGTGTCGCCGACGATATTTACGTTCCAGTTGCTGTTGGTAACAATTTCAAGCGGCCGCTCGGTTCATTTCCGCTTTGCTTACCAACGCAGAAGAACGAGCATCGATCCAGTTACGCCGGTCGATCGATTTTTCTAACAAAAATACTCGCGCCTCTTTGTCGTTGCTGCTCCTTCACATAATGTCAGACGTTTGATTCTTAAGCTCGTTGGTTGTTAGCCAAGTTGAAATTGTATTCCGAGTTTACGTTCACGAGCCATTTCTCACCGAGTGAACTTAAGTCACGGCGGGGGGAAGGGGGGGGGGGAAATCTCTCGCGTATATACTCTCGTGTGTGCTTTTGCTTGGTCTGTCGGACTCGACTGTCTCGTTTCTTCGACATGCATCACTTTCGCCGTGTGCATCCTGCGTAACCGACGAAAAAGTGGATTTTCACGTGGAATCGTTAAGCGCCGTCACGCTCGCGATAGGTATATCGAGCGGTGAACGCGTGAAAATCGAGAATATCGCTGAATTATTTTCACGTTCCTTTCTCAACAAACAAAGTCCTATTTGCATTTTTTCATAGTAGTGCGAGATTAATCCAATCGAAATTTGATTAACCCTCGTGTTTTCCACCTCGAGTGAGTCAAAACGGTAAATGCTTGTTTCTTCGTGATTTCTGCAAATTTATTAACATTCAGGAGAGATTTTTTTTTTTTTTTTTAAATGTAACTTGTAACATAAATGAATCTTGATAAATTCATCTATGCGAGAAATGACTCTTCGGTCTGCATCTGTTGATTAATGTTGCACGTGTCCCCTTAATTTATTACTTGGATATTTTAATCTAATTTTATATTTATATTAAAACATAATAATATATTAAATTTATATTTGATATATATATTTACTTATATTATATATATTTGTACATGAAATTTACATGTTTAATTTTACATTAAACATGCAAAGAAGAATATTGAACATCTGTTCGAAATACATATTAATTAACTTCTGTGTCAATTAGTACTGGTGCGGCTATCGCACTTTCGCGGTTCGTGTCCCGGGGAATCAAGTTATGCGAGTTAACCCCAAATTTCGAACATAGATAAAGAAAAGATCAATTTTCACGTGACGCGGGGAAATTAGTTTGGATAACGCAGGCGTGACAGGGAAACGCGTTTCTTTACCCCCTGTTGCATCCAACTGTACGACTCTGCTGCACTTGTCGCTACCCTCGTTCCCTTGACCCTCTCCAAACACATAAATTCTCCTCTTCCCCTGTTGCGTTGTCTCTATTCCCCCGTCCGTCTGTTTCCGTCTCTCGACACTCGAGTTAGGGCCCCACGGAAATAGATTCGAGACCCGA